AACTATACATTACTTGACTTGATTAATTGAGCGGGCAATCACAACCACTGACTAAAATTATTCTAAGCGATTCATAAATACAATAAATAAGATTTATTAGTCTAAATTAATTTAAACGAAAGATATTTTCAAAGTTGAAGAGATACTTTTTATTCGCCCAAGCGTGGAAGTGTTGGACCTAAACCCATGCGCCGTCCGCACCACGGTACTGCGCTACCTGGGCACAGGTGGCTTCACTTACGACGAGGCTGCCAGCTGGTGCAAGAAGTTCACAGGCTCGAAAAATTAAAGAGTATGTATTATACGCAAAAACTGAGCAGACAGAATTTATTGTCCGTAATTTGAGGTAGTGAAATTCTTACAAAATTCGGTGTAGTAAATAGATAAATCCGATAAGCTGGGGTGAAAGTAATTACTGACATTTGGATTAAATTAGGATTTTGCGATGTGCTTTTTGCGTCATTCAAAGGAATTAATGGAATGAGATACGAATTAAAGTCATAGCAAAGTACAGCAAGGCGTAGTCACGACCACAGATACCGAAAGATAAGTAAATCGATAGTTGAACGTAATGTTGACAATAGCTTCTCGCTCACTGTACGTTCAAATCTCCGTCTAAAATTTGTACGCTAAATCAATGATTGAAATATTCGATCTGATAAGTAATTCATATTTTTTATATTAATTATATCGTTGAAACGTTGAATATTAATTATGTCGTTCATGAAGAATTATGGCATTACCCAACTGTAAAATGACGCCAACATAACGTAGATTATGACCTGCTTTTGCCGGAATGGTTTTCAAGTTCCAGAATGTAACACAATATTTTTTTATTAGTTGTCCTCTTCTTTTTCTTCGTGCTGTCCTATACTATCAGAACCGGAATTTTAGGATCTGTCATCCTTTTTCATGAAAATAAACTCGAATTCAATTTCTCCGCAAAAAAAATACTTAACATACCAACCCAGGACTCAATAATACAGCTAATAATTATTAATTCATATATCTGAAAACTCCCGAATTGTGATACACACATGTCCGTAATATTCGATCGTCGGATTAGAAAGAGGGAGCAGCTAAAATTGCGAATTATTGATCGTCAGTGCTAGCAAAAATATAACAACTTCAGATACGTATTCGATCTCATCTGTTGAGATGAGATCGAATCAGCAAGGAAGAGAAATAGGGCGAATTTTGACTCTTTTCATTAGCAAAATTTAAGGGAAGCACGTCGGTCAAAATTTTTGATTTTGGCTTTCACGGTTTTTAGTCTCATCTTAAAGCTGATATTCTGACCTATCCAACGGTACCAGAACCATCTCTGTACGTTGACTTATGCGTTCACTATAGATCCCGTAAAGGGGGGGAGGTGTTCGGGCCCCTTCGTGTGAAAGGTAATCGTGTGAAAGGATATCACTTTTTACTGCTAACCTTCTGTATAGAATATTCGTTGCACTAACTCAGTCCTTTGAGTGCTTAAAGTATTATTGTGTGCTTTGAATTCAAATAGATTCTATTTGTAAATATGTGAATAGATTCTATTTGCACATTGCGATATATTTCAAGAGTTATCACTCCAGTGAGTGGCGTTGATGACCTTGGTCACTCTCTACGTGTTAATTACCTCATATTAGCGCATTTTCTGCAAGATGCATCATAAGTCTAACCTAAATTTTGGATTCTACGAAACATTCGAGTGTCGATTATATGATTTTTTCAATTCAATACACAAGTTTTATTTCAAGTCAGTAATCTTGAGTGTCACCTTCTCTTCGTGTACATCATCACTACTGATCGAAAATCGGTTTCTATAATACAATTTTTACTCTCAATTCATCTGCTACCAGCAAAAAATCATTATCAAGTAAACTTGAAACTTTCAGGCGAGACCGCTGCCATATATTAGGTAACAGAACAAGTTTATTTCTAACTCGGTTTGCCCTGCCCAGTGATAAATCTTGACCATAACACTGAATCTGATAATAAACATTCTACGTAGCTCTATTTATTTTGGTAGGAATAAACGTTTAATTTTTCGTCCAGTATCCAGAAAAGCTTTTTTTTAGGAATGCATTCCTCCTTGTGTTGTTTGTCAGCGTACTGTGTCATGTTTGCACGCATGAGCCTGAATGATGCCGTACATATTTAATGTACCGCTTAGAAGTGGTTTCAAACAGAAGGTATTGCTGAAGATTTTTATTCGAGTTCACTATTGAGTTACATCGCGAAGCCTCACGAAAAACATTTCATTGCTGAGTTAATTATTGCTTTAATTATTATGAAATTTATTAGGTAATAGCTGAAATTTGTGAAACCCTATCACATGAACCTTTAATGATCCTTCTCTCTGTTATGACATTCGGTTGACTTTTTGGAAATACGCTTATGTATTGGTAGCATTAAGGTAAAAACAATTATATGTACAAAATGAAGTAATTGCAGTCCAGCATTTGTTGATAAATAAGATTCAAAATGTAATAATTTTTTAGTTTTGCTGTAATTCAGTTCTGTGTCTGATATTTGTTTGTAGCTTAGGAAAAATAGCCGCTTATCCTTTGTTGATTTTCTGGCCGATTATTTATCTCAGGAACGGAACTAAATCCCAGGGAACTCTGATTTTCTGGCCGATTATTTATCTCAGGAACGGAACTAAATTTTGCCAATATATAACAAAAATTTATGTCTTCACTTTGATTTAAATATCCAATGATTATCTAAAGCCTTTGCATCTAATAACAATAAAAAAGTTAATGAGGAATATGAAGTGAGAAGTTTTGAATGCAGCATGCATTCTATATGATAATGAAAAGCAGTGAAAGCTGGAATATAAATTGAATAAAATATTACCATCATTTTCAGTGCGCAATGCTCGACCGTCGATAAGCTTTAGTGTAACAACGTATTAGCATAACAACATTAGTCTAACAATAACATTAGTCTAACAACAACATTAGTCAAACAACAACATTAGTCTAACAACATTAGTATTAATATAACAAGTTAGTATAATTATGAACATTCCAATGTTAAAAACCTTTGTTAGGTCCGCCATTGTGGCGCCATAACATATGAATATGAAAAACTTCGTCCAAACAAAGTCCGTTTTTTCTAGTGTTCAGTCCAATAAGCTTAGTCGCCGTCAAAATCTTTGTCCGATGTCATATGCACTCCAAGTAAAAAATATTCTATATTGGCGGCAGGTTGTGTGACGGATGATTGGGCTGGTTCTATTTACTCGGTCAACAGCAACCTCAATGTCTCACAGTCACACCCCATTGTTACTGTCATAACCCGCACACTGGATACATAAGATCTTCGGAAGATTTACCACTTGTTTAGGTGTGAAAAATAAGGCGAATTCCGAGAAAGCCATTTGGTGTCAACGTATTTTTCAGATGCCATGGAAAAACTAAGCACACTCCAGGTTTTTGGTACAGTTTGCGATGCATAAGGCATTCAGTCGTGAGTATACCGATGACAAAAAATTATTGGTCATCATTAGCGCGAAAATATTCTTTTTGGTTGAAGAATCTGTCAATGTATGTACATGGTCGAGAGTTTATAAATGCCCAGTCTTCGGCTGCTGCTGGTCAGAAGCCTGCTCTGCTCATCACCCTCTGCATCCCAGCGCCTCTTAAAGCAGGTGAAAACGTCACGTTTATCTTGCAAAGTATTGCTGTTCTAGTATCACCGTTACCCTCTTATACTTAGCGATTGGGTATCGTTATCATATTAGGTTATGTATCACTTGTAGTATCATTCTTTCAAAGTTGAGCATCCACAATAGACGATCTTTTCATTTTTAAATTTGTTTGATTTTTAATTAGTTACAGCAGGCTTGGTTGAATACGTAGAATGGGAGGAACCGCTTTTGAAGTAAAAAGAACTCTAAAGTAAATTTTGCAATTACTATTTTTGCTGTAACTGACTCGTTAGCTGAGGGCTGTTCTTAACCTCGAATACGAGCAAACTTTGTATGCAGCGTTTTGATAAGTAGCCACAACCAGCAAGGGGCACTTGCATGCACCTGCTGAGTAAAGAAGCTGTGGCGTAGAAGTACAAGTTCGTAGTGCTGGCAATGAGGTTTTTTATGCTTCTGTTTTTACTGTTAAAAAGAAGAACAGATTTCTAGAGTCTATGTAGTTATTGTGTAGTACTGTTGTACTTACTTTTTTCATGTAGATTGCTTTAACTTACTTTTTCCATGTAACCCGCTGTACCTACTTTTTTCACGTAAGTGTATTCTGCGCTTTTATTCCGATGAATATTCAATGTATTTCATTATATAAAATATCGACCACTACCTATTCTTCATGCGGTGTAGTTGCTATTAGTTGTGTATATTAGTTGCGTCTACTAGGCGAGGCTACTAAAATTTGTTATGCTTGACGTGTTCAAAGGCAACTAGCTGGTTCATTGCATGCAGAGCACTTCGAGTTGTTTTGAAGCAGTCTATTGCGCTCACACGGGGCTATTAGTTGCGTATATTGGTTGCGTCCACTACAGTTTTGCTGGTTGCGACCATACACGAGTATAGTGTTTTCGGTACACTGCGCCCGCGTCAGTGCGATGTTGGGAGTTGTCGAGTAAGGGTGTGCACGGTGGATTCATGCGAGAGCAAGACAGCAGTTTTCGCTACAGTGGGCGAGAGAGAGAGCGACACAGCCATACTCGGTATGACAGCCGGGCGGCTACTGAGCGCAATAGAGTGAATAGACTGCTTCAAAACAACTCTAGTTGCCTTGCCTGCAATGAACCAGCTAGTTGCCTCTGAACACGTCAAGCATCGCAAATTTTAGTAGTCTCGCCTAGTAGACGCAACTAATATACGCAACAAATAGCCCCGCGTATAAGCACCTTACTGTATGCATTGGCAACCCGAAAGTGTACTCTGAATATGTGTACATATATAGTGTGGTAAGTTCGTTCACAAATAACTATCATCTTCCAAAGACTTTTTCATCAGGTGGTTGTTTGCCGGCGTTGGCAGTGCTACAATGGCCCAGCTACGGGCCCTGTGGCTCCTGCAAGGAGTTGCACTGACTTGCATTATTCGCCAGAATCTTATTCAAGGTACGAAAAATCTAAAGAATTTATTCTCAGTAACTTTAAATATTTCAATGCTTATTCATATCAAATTAACCTGTTAACACTAAAAATTATGGGAAAATAAAGAGTATGAAGTATTCATCACAAAAACAAGTAAAAATTATTGAAAATATTGGAATATTGATAAGTAAAAAATAATATTGAGGCTATAAGGACGAGCGTCCCATAAATCAGCGTAACTCATCTATGCAATAGATATGATAACATTTAGTCACTAGTGATGAGGCCAATAGAAGTTAAATTAGCAACGGCGTTTTCTATGGAGCGTTTTTGCCAGGAACGCCGGCGTTCTCCATGAGCGAACACCAGAAGATCAACTACCTGCTCGACACGCCGTATTTGGGTACCAGGTTCTCGCTGCCTACCAACCTAACCACCGTCTCCTACTGCCTTCACTTCAAGATGCTCTTTTTGGGAGATGAGTCCTGCAACTTCCTCCTTCTCTACCCTCTGAGTCTCGTCCTGTGTAAGAGTTTCTTCTTAAAAATGAACTATGAATTCTGTCCGTAAACATATCAACTTGCTTAAATTAATTTCTCTCTGCTGTCATTTGTGAAATTGCTCTTTCGCCATTCTCCCTTAAAGAAAAGCTAAACTCTTTCTGATCATCCAGGTTTCATCGCGTATGAAATTTGCTAGCTGAAAATAATCCGATTTCAATTTATGAAGCATCATATATAAAATAAAATTGATGATCGTCCAAGCAACTTTCAACGAGCAACTTTCATTTAAACATTCTTATTAGCTATCTATTCCTGTCCCGCACTTTTTAATTCAAAACTTTCCCAGGAAGTGGTAATTATGACCCACAGTTACGATACGAGTCTTCCTTATTTCACTATAAATGCCTGAAATTAGCATGCAAGAACTCGAAATTTCTTCCCATATTTTTGCTTGACAAACACAGCACTCACGAACAAACGAACAACTTATAGGGCAACATTTTTCTTCATTAAACATTTCTTACAGTCGCTTCTCAAGATTTGTACTTCAGTGAGGGGTCTTCATTGATCTCCACGGTGCTGGACTTCAAGATGCCCATACGCGAGTGGGTGCACTTGTGCATATCCGTCTTTGGTGACAATAAAGTCTACATAAATTTACGATACGAGTCTTCCTTATTTCACTATAAATGCCTGAAATTAGCATGCAAGAACTCGAAATTTCTTCCCATATTTTTGCTTGACAAACACAGCACTCACGAACAAACGAACAACTTAAGGGCAACATTTTTCTTCATTAAACATTTTCTTACAGTCGCTTCTCAAGATTTGTACTTCAGTGAGGGGTCTTCATTGATCTCCACGGTGCTGGACTTCAAGATGCCCATACGCGAGTGGGTGCACTTGTGCATATCCGTCTTTGGTGACAATAAAGTCTACATAAACGGGGTGGAAAAACGTACGAGTGTGATCACCGGTTCATCAAGTCAGATGCCGAAGGTTAGTGGTCCTACATTTTTCATTATGGTAGGGAAGTGAATTCCGTTTAAGGGAGAAATGTTTCGATGTAAATTCATGAACTATCATTCAAATGACTCAATAAAAACTATGATGTAATATCAGGTAAAAACGAATAACCATGTGCGCGTTTTCGTTTTTACAGTTGCAGGAATACACGCTCTCGTTCGGGTCCAATTACGAAATAAAATCCATCGCTGACCAGGATTTTGGAGCACACATCGCCGTCCCTGTCATGCTGCCAAGGAAAATTTCCCAAGAGGAGGTGAGAACTTTTTTTTTGTCTTGTGACCGCTTCCGAGGTCAGATGAGTTCTTACATCACAATTGTTACTCTATCTCCTCCATCTCACCATCGATGACTCGTATCCGATTCGTTGCACAATCTTCTGCGGCTGTTTTGAACTCAAACTAAAAGGGACTTCGGAACTAATCCTGACTACTCCAAAAAATCTTAACGTTACTACGCACTCCATCAGCCACCGTTTATTTGAACATACAGTCGAGGAAACGTTCCACGTGTGTTTTTGAAGCATGAATGTTTCTGGAACGTTGGTGTTGAAGCTATAAAACGCGTGCTTAAGTGTTAACGTATGCGCTACGAAAATGCGCCACGTACACGAAAAATGATCGTTATGACATATACGCCAATGTGCTGACGTACATGAGTGCAAGGGCGTTTTAGAGAGGGTAATGTACGCGGCTAAAAATTACACAGTACGTATGCAGGTTATCAAAATGCAGTAGCCTTATGCACTTCATATTGAAAGTAAGCTCGTTCATCAAGAACAGAGCACCCGTGTTAAATATATCGTAATACTCGCTCGCAGGCCTGCACGTGAGTAGCGAGTGTTTAAAAGCACGCTGTTGGGCTTAGCCTGTAAGAAATGCGTGTTCCTCCATTTCTAGGCCTTTGATTATCCCATGCCAATCTATGACCTCACTCCATGTCATGAGACTGTGTGCATTTGGCAGCATGTGCAGAACTGGTTGAATACCTCACTCGTGTCATCCAGGCCTTTAAATTTGAAATTTATGACATCCGTGCAGGTCACGGCACTTGCCCAGTGCCAGGTTCCCCCCGCGGATAACGTCGTGGCAGGATTGGCGTGGCAGGAAATGCGATATTTGCGCGACAAAAACGCGATTTTGACCCGCAATGTGGAGCTGGACCCAGAGATCCCCCTCAGCCCGTGGGCGCTGCTCAACTCTTCCTATAGCCGCCCATCTTCACTTCCTCAACCTGCGTAAGTGTTGTGTTTTGCAGGAGCAAATACATAACGATAAATTAATAGAAGAAAGTGCAATGTGCTGATGCGTGGAAAATTAAAAAAGTAAGGAATAATATTAGTTCATTCGTCACGCTAACATAACATAATATAGTGATCTCGGGGCTGAAGTGTAGGTAGACCTAATGTGGCCTGTCGCCGATTCTTTTCCTTTTCGTGCCTTGTTCACAGAAGATCTAAAATCGTGTCATTTGACCGGATCTTTTCATGACTGACGATTGATTGAAGTAGCTACTAGGCTTCCACCGGGTTCGATAAGGAGCTAGGCATTTCAAATCTGAACATATTGTATATTTTTTCATAGCTTTATCTAGTCTGTTCTCAGAGGTGGGCAGTAGCGCGCTACATATAGCGGTAGCGGTAGCGACGCTACATTTAAGGCAATTTAGCGGTAGCGGTAGCGTCCGCTACATATTTAAGTACCGATACGAGGTTTTGCCGCTACAGCGCTACCGCTACATTTATAGATAATGCCTTTAGATTTTAATTAATAGTATTAAATATTATTTAAAAACCAGCATGATACATACATAATATAAATTACAGAATAAAACTGTACGGAAGATTTCGGTGTAATGTGGTCAACCTCAGCCTGTTACTAGTGTCAACAATCAACATGGTAGTTGTTACTTGTTAAGTTGTTACCAGTTACCACTAACGGGTATTTTTTCATATTTCAGTTTGCTTACAGTTATTTTTACACAGTTATTTATATGTTTCACCTTCCCTACATAGATGTCTACTTTAATCTGCCAATTTCAAAAATAATCCACATACGTATATATACAAATAAAAGACTGAATTTTTATATGTATATGAGGGTAATTTTGTAGATTGGTAGATTAAAGTACACATCCATATAGAGAAGGTAAAACATATAAATAACTGTAACTTTTATTTAATGTATCTAACCCGTACTAGTTCGGTTAGGTCAGTGGTTCCCAAACTTTTTCAGGCTGGCGCCCCCTTTGGCTCCCTCTTAGAAAATTTCAGCTCCTTGTCGACATAAACTCCGAGATCTTTTTCCACACTAGACTCTTCAATCATTACTCTCTCGTTGCAACCATGTCTTCTCATACTGTAATCTTGCTGTTCATTGTTCTTCCCGAGGTGAAGCACTTTACACTTGTCAGCATTAAACCGCAGCTGCCTCACATCAGCCCAGTTACCTAAACTGTCAAGATCATCTTGTAATTGCGCTTTATTTGACGCATCCTTCACTGTATTATAAACTTTTTTGTCGTCGGCATACATGGAGCTCACGCTGGACACTGCTTCTGGCAAATCGTTTATAAAAGAAACGAACAAAATAGGCCCAAGAACGCTTCCATGCGGCACGCCACTGCGCACTAATGCCCAGTCTGACACGGTTCCGTTAATACTGACACGTTGTTGTCTACCAACTAGAAAATCTCTGATTCATTGGAGTACGTTTCCCTCAATTCCCAAAGACTCCACTTACGCAACAGCCGCTCATGCGGAACACTGTCAAATGCTTTGGCAAAATCGAGGTACAATGCATCCAATGGCTCCCTTTCGTCCAGCAGGCGAGTCCAATCGTTCAACGTAGATAATAAGTTAGTGGTGCAGGATCTACCGGCAATAAAACCATGCTGACAGTCTAATATGAGATGGTGAGCAGTCAAGTGATCGATAATCCTATCCCTCACAACAGATTCCATTAGCTTACAAACAACACTTGTCAGACTGACAGGGCGATAGTTGCCGGGGCTGCTTTTATCACCTTTTTTGAACAATGGTGTTACTTGAGCTTTTTCCAGTCGGACGGCAAAGTTCCTTCGTTCAAAGTTCTTTTTTGAAAGAATACTGTCAATGGGCCGGCCAGAACGGTTGTTAATTCTTTGTGCAATCTGGGATGGAAGCCGTCTGGTCCACATGACTATTTGGGCTTTAGAGCTACCAGGCGATTGAGAACCTCTTCTTCGTGTATTTCAAAACATGTTAACTTCGAGCCGACTGGGCGCTCCTCAATATCTGGAATACTGTTCAAGTCCTCATCTGTGAACACATTGCTGAAGAACTGATAAGAACGTTAGCCTTGCCCTCATCACAGGAAATCTTTTGTTGGTGTACTTTCAAATCAGATATACCGTCCTTTGACTTACACTTCAAACTAGCGTACAAAAAAAAAAAAAGGTTTTCGGATTATTTTTTGCTTTTTTAGCAATATTTGTTTCGAAGTTTTTCACTGCAGCGCGACAAACTTTTTAGCTCGATTTCGAGCTCTAGCATACAGGTTATAATCAGACTCGCTGCGAGTTCGTAAATAACGCTTGTAGGCTTCTTTCTTGGTCTTTAGCTGAGATTTAACTGCACTGTTCGTCCACTGGGACTTTTTGACTCCTCCAAGCGTAATCTTGGGTACACAGGCATCAACTGCAGACATAACCGTGTCCTTGAGAAACGACCATGAATCAGCCACATTCATGTCCTTAATATAGTTTAAAATATTCGCCGCATTCACCTTTTCACTGAGTTTATCATAGTCGCCTTTCGCAAAGTTCAAACGTTCACGCTTCCGAAGCGTTTTTTCAGCACAACACTTAATATTGAAAAACAGTGATTGGTGGTGGCTTTTGCCCAACGGAGCCTCGTGGCGAAGCTCATCTATCATTGATTCTGCACTAGTAAACACAAGATCTAGAATATTTGGGGTTTGTTTACCCCTAAAATGGGTTGGCTTGGTGATGTTCTGGATTAAAAATGAGTCTCGCACAGACTCCAAGAACAAGGATGCTGGGTGATTCCCATCTCTTGGAGAAGATTCATCTGCCCAGTCTATTTCTGGATAGTTAAAGTCACCAACGATCAACGTATGCAACCTGCTGAATGACATGCTCGGTAAAAGGCTGTTTAGAACTTTATTGTTATCAGAGGAGCTGTTAGGTGATCTGTAAATGACTCCTATGAGGAGGCTATCTTTGTCTTTTAGAGTACGTTCGCACCACACTGATTCTCTAGCTGATTGATGTTCTGCAGATAACTTAACTTGCTGGGCCCCATAAGAGGTTCTAACCCAGAGAGCTACACCTCTACTGCACTGCTCTTCATTTAAGTTATGAAAACAATCAAAACCTGGCAGCTGAAATTCAACAGGTACAATTTTCCCCCCGTGGTTTTTAGGAAGCGTTTCTGTAATACAAAAATAATGTCCATACACTCGTTTGCGATCACAGTTAACAGTACACTTTTTTGTTCAAAACGGAATCCGAGTTCGTGTAAAAACATTTTAAAACTTTTTGTGCACTTTCACTTTGATGTATGCGGTTACTTCCTACATTATTTTCAGGCCTTGATATACGGACATCATTCCTACTAATTACTTGTCCTCCATCTCCTCTGACTGTCCGTGAGCAGCCGGTGTTGTCTTGGCAGCTTGGAAGTGATTGACCTGATTTTCCGTGCCTTTCCGTCTGATTCTCCTGCCACTTCATGCGACAAACCGCCCTTTCTAAGGGGGTGGAATGTTTCTTTACAAAAACTGACTTGCAATCAGCGGATTCTCCAAGTTTTCTCGCTGTTTTCAGCACGCTCCAGACCTGAGCAGAATCCTTTACAGTCACCAGCAGAGGTCTGAAGGTGTTGGCAGCAGCATCCTTCGAGCGTAGCCTCTTGCAAGATATAACACCAATCGGTGTGTTGAGTACCTTGCTGCAACAATCTACAACAAATGACATGTCATCCATCACTCGGTCCTTCGCATCAGATGCGTTACTTTCAGGAATCCCAAACCAAACCAGGTTGGCCTTCCTACGTTCTCTATCAAGTAATTCACGTGAGCTATCACTAGCGACTTCAGATAAATCAGCTGTGTTCTGTTCGTTACTTCCATTTCTTCCGTATTTTTCAACTGAGCCTTCACTTCAGTCAGTTCATTGCATAGCGAGCTCAGTTTGTGACTCAGCGAGCGCACCATCTCACTCAAGGAGTTTACTACATCATTCAACAATTTCGACTCATTGCCGAGCTCTTCCACCGACTCCTCTCTTTTTCGAGCACCAAGAGTTGATTTTTCGCAATCACGACAAAACCAATGAGGCAATTTAGATTTCTGGAGAAATGTGTACTCCTTAGAGCTCGACTTCAAACAGGTAATACAAATGAGATCTTCGCATCGTTCACAGGGGACCGTCTGGACTTCGCTAAGAGAGATCTCTTTACAGAACTTGCAAACTTTCATCTCTAGGTGGGCTGATTTTGTTTTATTTTTTATTCTAGAGGCCGTAGAGGGCTTTTCTCTAAAGGCTTTTCGACTATCTTTTTTATTTTCTGTCCAGCCATTATTAAATGCACTAACTACATCTCTTGAACGGAGAAAAGGACGGTGAAAAGTACAGAAAAGGACGGAGAAACATACAAAACTGAGTTGAGTTGAGTATAGTAAAGTTCCCTCGATAATTCCGGCTGGAGGAACAGCTGAGCTGCAGCTGGCGAGGGAAAGACAAGGGTGTCTGGAGGAATCAAGGGATCGACGCGTGAGGCGGGTGGAGAGGGGGAGGTGTAGGGGCCAAGAGGGTGGGAAGGTCTAGGAAAACGAGGCCTGAGCGTCTCAAGGCACCGTTCTCCGTTACAGGCGGTCGCCGAGGGTTCGCAAGAAGCTACAAACTTTCCCTCGATTCATGCACTGGCATTTTTCGGGAATAAAACACTTGTACTAGCCGGTTTTCTCACTATTCGCACAATTTTTACTGAAATGCACTGAAATTGAACCTTTCACTGAAATCGTTTCGGTACAAATTAGAGCGATAAGTCAAACCGGCATAGTAAAGAGTGAGAAAGTTGGGACCCACAAACACGTACGTGCGTCCTAGATCACGATCAGAACTCAACTCCTAACTCAAGAACTCAACATATCAGTGCCTAAATAGCTAGTACGAGCCTCCGCAAGATATGCACGAGTTCCCACAATGAATTAATAAAATTTATTAATAGGTACAGTATTATAGAATTTGAAAGACTGCCTACGTATATGACAGCTTGCACGCTATGCTTTCATTTTTTCATTCTGATGCTTTCCTTCCGCTATCAGGAGTAACGGCTGGGGCGCTGTTGTGTATTTGTTATCCAGATTTTAATTTTGAGCGAATAGCCTCCACATTTTCAAATAATAGAAATTGCTCGTTGACAAATTTTCCAGAAAAGTAAGGCTCGGCCAGGATTGTTATTCTAAGACTATCTCAAATTCGTACGTGTAAAATTAAACCAGAATGAAAAAAATTAATTTTGTAATGAATATTTTTAGAACTAGTTTAATATTCCTGTAATTAAAAAAATTACGCCAAAAAGTAAAAAGTTGTATATTAAGCATTGAAAAATTCCAAAACGGCTTATATTGTTAAAGCACAAAGTCAATTCCATACCTTCAGTTAGTTATTGATTGATAAGCACAGGTTTCTATGCAAGAACCTTTAAGTTTGGGCCCAGTTGGTTCTAAGGTTAGTTAGCAATAACCTGGACTGAGGATCATATAAAATGTAAAAAGTTTGCGTGTAAGGAAAAATGCTCGCACACCTAAGAATAAGCATCACGTAGACGTAGAGCTTGGTTGGTTGAGTGGAAGGGGCACAGACAAAAACCAAAATGACAGTAAAGTATTATAAATGGTTGTATTATTAAATTTTTAACCATTCATTACCCGATTATAATAGTGCGAGCAAACAGAATCAGTGAATAAAATAATTCTAAGTGATTCATAAACTCAATAAGTAAGATTGATTATTCTAATTAATTAAAAAAAGAAAAATTTTCAAAGTTTGAGAGGTACATACTTTTCTCACCCAAGCGTGGAAGTGTTGGACCTAAACCCATGCGCCGTCCGCACCACGGTGCTGCGCTACCTGGGCACAGGTGGCTTCACTTACGACGAGGCTGCCAGCTGGTGCAAGAAGTTCACAGGCGTTTTACCATCTGCCAACCACTCTGAAATAAAGAGCATGAAGGAAGCGGTGAGCAGAGTTGATGAATGCTGGACAATGACATTAAAAAATGTGATAAATTTCGGCTACATCAACCAATAAAACATGGGAATATGTAAACTCATCATCTGTCTACTAAAAGTGTTCCTAAAACTTTAATACATTTATCACGTACATTTACTACTACCATTGATTGACATGGGGTTGACATGGCCGCTACATCGGGAGATGTTATATGATGAAGTATAACCTGTGACAGGTACAGCATAGTTTTATGAAGGATATTCGTCTGAGTAGGGCGCCTCGCTTCAACATTTACCTAAATAACTTATCTTAGAATTTTTCACTTCAGTGGAACTAAGCAAATGGAAGTAAATCAAGTGTTTGAACATAAGAGAGGTTTTGGTTATTAGCTAACATTTCTCTGTTGGAAGCTGACTGCGGTACGATCTGATGTGGTCTTGTGGGTGCAAGGAAAGTCCCGGAACAACACGTGTTCCGCGTCCATTCGTTATGATTTGAGCAACGAGACACACGTAGAAGTGGACTGCGACAGTAAGATGAAGAAGATGCTGGTGTGCCAGGTGAGCATTTCATCTACATGAAAATAAATCAACAATTAGGTTTTGCTACAAGCATGGTCTCAATACTTTGTCAATTATATGTGATTTTTTCTTATTGCACATTCATTGTTTGACGAATAAGAACGAATTCACAATCATATCTCTTACAGAGGAAACAATCTCATCAACAGTCTCCCTAATGGTATATATATATTTCTGACCGACTAGAGAAATGTTCACTGTACTTTTAATTTATTCCTGAACTATTTAAGCGCGGAAATAGGATAATTGCAAATTACAAAACTACTCAGTCATCTTAATATGGAAAATAAAATCTATGATATCACACTAAAGTTAGAAACCATAGTGAAGAACGTAATCAAAAGGCAACCATTAGTAAAGTGGGGGGAAATAAATATTCGTACACTTGAAAAATCGTATTTTAATGTATGTAAGTACACAAACTTAACGGGAAAAGTGATTTAAATTATGTATAGAGACGCATAGTATTCAAAAATACTATCAAAAGAAATTAAATCTCAATGCAACAAAAAACAATGCAACATGTTCACTTTTCGGGTGAAAAAAGTATTCGTACAAAACAATAAATCCGCATTATTTTAATTTAATACTTGGTTGAATACCCTTTATTCAGCTCAACAGATACCAGTCTATGCAAGTTAAGATACATGGCAAGTAATGATACAGGCAAGTAACGATACAGGCAAGTAACGATACAGGCAAATAACGATACAGGCAAATAACGATACAGGCAAATAACGATATAGGTGTGACGGAACACAATTTTTGTGGATTATTTTTTTAAAACATAGATTCGCTTCTGATTTTACTCAAGAGATCTAAGTAATGCTGGGACATTTTTTTGTTCCGTGACTGTAGCAGGGAATTTTCTTCGCTGTGCTATTATATATCGGTAGTGTTAAGCTACAATCGTCTGCTAAGCGCCACACGTCGTCCGCATGCTCCGACCACGTTTAGACTTATTTCTATGATATGTTCATTGTAAATTATTACTTGACCTATGATTCATTCGCTTTAATGAGCGATTATTTTGTCAAACGACTTTGTTTTTATTGTGTTAATCGTAATGATTAACTGTTGTACGTAAATAAGTGCTGTCAATCTACGATACAATAGGTAAGGTGAAGAAGGCTACGTCGCAATCTTGATTGAGCAGGCCAGACATCTTAGAGGTAGATGTTCTATAAGAAGTCGATTATAACTTGTATTTATGTTGTCAAAAGGCCAAGTTCTTCATTACTGCGATTTTATCATGAGATAGTACTTCTCATTACATTTGATAACGCTTTTAGTCAATGTTCAGTTATCTAGGAGAAGTGCTAGACTCATGCGCTCGCGAGTTAGTTATCTTCGAGAGTTATTCTATCTTATATCAACTTTCACTTATCATTATGTAATCAAAGGATTACATCATGATTCTATTTTATTGTAATATCATAATATTATCAATTTTTTCCATATAGACGATTTTATTAGCCCATTTCTTGTACATTGTAAACGGGGTGTTGAGGCAAGCTCATCTTAGTTGAGTTATCCCTCGCGGATGAACCTTGTGTGCTCAGTATGACTGGGTGGGGGTCCGAACATTTCGAATAGGATTCTGAGAAGCAGATGTGGGCTTCCAGGACTCTACCGTAGTTCTGGCTATATCTTGTAAAGAGATCGAGTAGCGGCCAACTTACGGCGTAGCTGGAGTTCTTGCCTAGTTCCAGCTGTTGGCTGCGTTTCGGGAAGTTAATAACCGTACCATTCGCACCCTCGTGTTGTAGAGGCTGATAACCTCTGCGCTCGAGTAAATTGTCAGCGGCTTATTGATCGAGGGCTCGTGCTCCTCAACAGTCGTTACTTCGGGGCGTAATTGCCATCCCACTTTTGCGTTCTCGGCAGTGTATTAGGGCTCGTACCCCTGATTATTGCATTGGTTGTCTGCATCGTGTGCAGCACTTACAGTACCTGTACTTTTGCTGTCCATTTCTGCGTTCGTCGCAGTGTATTAGGGCTCGTACCTCTGATCATTGCATTGGTTGTCGGCATCGTGGTGCAGTTCGTAACTGTACCCTTGCTATCCGCTTGTGTGGTTATCGACAGTTTATTAGGACTCCTCAACGTTTTATCCCTGGAGTTGAGATCCTGTCTCCCGGAGCTTTTGGACTTTTAGCGAATAATAAATTGTGTGTCTTGTACAGTGGAATTTGTGTATCGCCTGAAGATCACCAATATACTACGAAAAGTTCCTCGTGTTCATTCCTCCTCTCTCCAACGCAAGGGAATTTAGAGCCGGACCAAAGAGCGACTCTTTAGCCCTTGTGTTAAAACCAATACGGAATTCACCGTCAAGTCGACGCGCTACCCATGTATATTTCGACTTCACGGCGGTGTTTAACGATACACACTGGCAAGTAACGATACAGGAAAGTAACGATACAGGCAATTAACGATACAGGCAAGGGACGATACAGGCAAGTAACGAAACAGGCAAGTAACGAGACAGGCAGGTAACGATACAGGCAAGGGACGATACAGGCGAGTAACGATACAGGCAAGTAACGATACAGGCATGTAACGAGACAGGCAAGTAACGAGACAGGCAGGTAACGATATAGGCAAGGGACGATACAGGCAAGTAACCAAACAGGCAAGTAACGAGACAGGCAGGTAACGATACAGGCAAGGGACGATACAGGCGAGCAACGATACAGGCAAGTAACGATACAGGCAAGTAACGAAACAGGCAAGTAACGAAACAGGCAAGTAACGAGACAGGCAGGTAACGATACAGGCAAGGGGCGATACAGGCAAGTAACGATACAGGCATGGGGCGATACAGGCAAGTAACGATACATGCAAGTAACGATACAGGCAAGTAATGCTACTGGCAAGTAACGATACATGCAAGTAACGATACATGCAAGTAACGATACATGCAAGTAACGATACAGGCAAGTAATGCTACTGGCAAGTAACGATACATGCAGGTAACGATACAGGCAAGTAACGATACAGGCAAGTCATCATATGCGTAAGGCCTATGAATGCATTTCATGATATACATACCTGTAATTTACACGTTTGAAAGAATATTGATGGGTCTTCCATCCGTGGACTAATTTGACATAATCAAAATGTTTGAAAGTTTCGAATTATGTTTTCATCTTGAAATATAGTTTACAAACAACGTGCGAGCACACCCAATAGATACTTTAAAACGTTTGAGAGATTATTAAATTGGCAGATATTTATTATTTATGTTAGAGGTTGCGGGACTGATTTGAGAATACGCCAATTGATCCTAAATAACCTGAAAAAAGCGTGAACACGAAATTTTTTATACCCGCAACTGTAACTAGTATATACTTTCAATATACTTGCCATATAGCTAATATACTTGCAATTAGACGTACAGATAGCATATACTTTCAATACAATTACTGTATAGGTAATTTACGTGCAATTTTAGCTAGTATATACTTGCAATATACCAGTTATATACGTAGCTATAATATACTTGCACACATCCTCCAGTGTTGTACCTGCAGTGAATAAGATCGGTGCTTCGATCCCGTGGAATGTTGTTCTGAAAATGAAGCTTTGGGAATTCATTAGTGCTGTGGAGTAACGAAAAATTTCAGCCGTCCTTGTAGTGAAAACTTTGCAGATCGGAAGTTTTGACTGAGCTGAATACTTTTTTATCTAATAGATTACTCGTTATAGTTTTTGCGTAGAAAATTGTTCGTTAAAAAGAAGTGATTTATTGTTTGTTCGTAGATAAATATTTGTGCTTCAAAATGAATCTTCTCTTGGTGTCGAATCGGATATTGCGTTTCAGAAACGTCATTTTAATTAGGTTATGGAATTTAACGATTGAGAGATTTGATATCGTTGTGATAATTTTATTATTCATTGATCGGTAATTTCTTTAATTTAGTCAGGTTGCGCCCGTAGCGTCTTAGGCATTACACGGAGTATTCACGTATACAAGTTCTCGTATGAAATAGGTTACGGCAAAAATCGTACCGAGAGAGGGTTGCAATGAAACGCTGGTACATTTCATATTAAATTGGGGAAATATAGTTCACATCATACGTCAACAAAAATTTCCAATAGGCCTACAGGAAAAATAAAATCCCGAAACAATCAAAGTTAAGAACCTATCAGTTTACATCACTTGAATCTCCTAATTTTAACAGAAACGTTGACTCGTTGCCGTTCTGTTGAGTAGTACGACTGTCGTCAACGACCGTACATCACCCGCAGCCGTACCGCAGCCGTAGCCCCGAGTCCCCGCAGTAGCCTTTCTGTCGCTCTGTCTCCATATATATATAGTAGTAATTTGCGCGCTTAAATCAATGTCTCACGGCCGGTCTGACCGTAGAACTTATAACATCGTACTTCTGAATAGTGGCGTAGTCTTTATCGTCGAAGATGCTACTACAAGCTCATTGCCGTTCTGCTGTTGCTGACGGAGAATTATTGCTGCGCAGTGCTCGATCTTGAGTGTTCTGTTAGGTGGCGTTGATATCGTTGAATGTCTTGTTATCTATCACGTTGTCTCACGGCTAAGTTAAAACCGTAGCAAAGGATGTTGACCAAACTAATATGGACAAGGTATGGCCCTAGTTCGTAAATTTCTGACGTTATTATATCGGAGCAATTGTGGTAAGAATGTCTCGAAGTTCAACGCGGTCGTTATTTTTTACCCCGCTGGCCGACGGCCGGGGCCGTCAACTACGTCTGCAGAGATAGCTGCAGACCGTGCTGGCGTGACGGTCATCTCAATAGAAAATCCTTTGGCGCGAATTTTAGGGTTTTAATATAGGCAGACGTCGCTCACACGTAAGCCGAAGCCGCGACAGTTTTAAGTTCCACAAAGGTCAGCCCTTTCGGTACCCTCGGCCATTGCGAACTGTAAACAAATTCGCTCTCTCTGTTTTCTGCCCCAATTTAGCGGTCAAGTCCCATCTTGCCTATAATTTCCTAATATCGCTCGGACCTTCTTTACAACTTTACATAGGGTATGTTTAATAAACTGGAAACAAAATTACCTACACTTTATTCAGTTTCCAGTGAATTTTTAGTTTAATATAACTCGTAAGGGGGTATTTATTACAATATTTAGTAAGTTAAATAGTTTACGTTTTCAAACAATGTTGCATATATTTTAGCCATTGACCTGCTGGCAGGAACCGTCCATATATTGGGTGGAGTAGAGACAAATGTGATGAAATTACTCAACATTTGAACAACTCTGGGGAATTTGCTACTAAGATTTCTTTTAGGTTGCATCTTCATTTAATTCTAAGGGTTAGTTTATTTTTTTATCCTCTGATAATATATGTACAATTACATATTCGAAAATAATAAAATATAAATGTGCTTCTACAATGAATGAATAAAATGGAATAAATGACGTTCTCATGAATTCATTCCAATTCTTTGTCTCAGCAAAAATTTTCATTTTAAGGAACGAGTGTTATGCCACTCAGGAAAAATTGGATTTAAAAACAAATAAGACACTGAAGATTAGGCAGGACGTATTACCATAGTGAACAGTGATAACACTTGCTGACAATACAAGGGATTCTTGGAATTTAAAAGTAAAGAAAATAGCCAAAAAGTCCACCATTTATTACAAGCGAAAACGTTTCGGAGTCCAGCTCCATCGTCAGTTCAAAACCTAAAAAACAGGTACAAACAATTAGTAGCCTAAAATTCAAATTCAAACAATTCACCTAAACTTGAGGACATTAGAACTAAAATCGAAGATAACAGAAATAAAAATGAGATAACATGTAGAGAAGGTACTATCTATTTGCAATTTGTAGAGGATAGGAACTGAATGCAGCATTTAAACTGGGTTTCTGTTTGAAAATATATAATGATTCTAAAATTCGTAGGTTAGAAACACCGGTTGTGGAGGCTAAA